TTGTCCCTCAGCCAGGCCTGCTGAGGGACACGCTCACACGCACATGCACTCCCAGTGCCCAGGGCACTGCTGGCAGCAAGAGCACTAGTAGGAAGAGTTCAGTGAGGGGACAGCAGGAGAGCCCAGGGCAGACAGAAAGCGGACACTGATCCTCCATCACTTCCTTTTCCCAGCTGAGCAACGTGACCTTGAGCTTCTCCTTCACGGTGGAGCAGGACATCCCTGTGCAGGGCCTGAAGCCAGCTCAGGTGAAGGTGTATGATTACTATGAGACAGGTAAGTGTGGGGCTGAGGGTGTCCCGGTGAGTGACTGTGGGGAGCTGGACTCATGGAGGTGCCTGGGAGCAATGGAAACCCACAGCTGTTCCTGCACTGTCCCTCTGCTTGTCCCTCTGCGTTCCTGGGAGAGGGACCTCTGACAGCCCTGCTCTCTCTCTTCCCTTCTGTTTTTCAGATGAGTTTGCCATACAGGAGTACGGTGCTCCCTGCGCCACAGGTAGGGTACATAGGAGCAAATAGCCTATTGCAAATTATTTTGAATGGAAGTCTTTTGCAAACCTTAGGCTTCCTTTGCCTACAACAAGTCTCTGAGCTTGTCTTTACCATGCCTACAGCAGGCTTGAGTCATACGGTAGTACAGAGGGGGAAAATAATGCTGGGCACCCCGTGTTATATTTCATTTTATTCACTGAGACCGTGAATCTCAGTGCTATCGCCTTAAGTCAGACAGAGGCACTTGTCTTTTCCTGTGTGTGTTTCACATTGTACAAATGAGACCGAAGTCTTCCTTGGGACAGAGCACCATGCTCAACCTCTGCGTATCTACCTTTTCCAAGGCCACTTTCACCATGCTGCAGATACAGAAGTGCATTGAGGAATTGTCTCCCGGCCACCTTGGTGAAATGTTCACATGTCTTCAGTGAATTTCAAGCTTTGCCCTGGGTTCTTTTTTCCAATCCTGTGGGAAATCCATGTGCCACAAGACAACATTTACTCTGATAGCTCATGCCTCTCCTTCCTTCTCTGTAGTATGGATATAATGAACATTCCCAATATGTTGTCCTTCTGCAACGTGGCAATTTTAGGTGTCGTAGGTTCGCAGATTTTAACAGGGTTTAAGCTGACATGGCACAAAAGGGGCTACCACAGAATGCGGAGAAGTCGTCTGGGGTTCTGGTTATTGCTTCACCAGGAATTCTCTCTCACTCTGTCCTTTCCCCACCTCCAGCCAAAGCTGAACAGGGAAATGCCTGAAGAATACATCTGTGCCCTGATGGATCAGCTGACTTGTTTCTGCCCTTAGTAGTCTTCCTTACCTAGTCCTCTACAATGTTACATGTAACCAACACCAAAAGCAAAGCAATACAATAAAAATAAATAAAATCTTGATCCTCCCCATCTGCCTCTGGCCTTATTTTTTTGTTAGCATTTCTCGTGTCTCTTCTCATCCACACTGCAGCAAAGTGCTCTGAGATTTGGATAGAGCCGTCCATGCCAACGCGGTGTTTGGCAAGTCCTTGGGAATACCAGAAGGTAGGCAGCTTTTGGCAGGGAGGAGGCGTGTTGTCACGCTTGCTGGTTCTCTAGGAGGAATGGGAATTCTGCCTGATCCATTATGCAGCATCTCCCTGCCTATAAATGCAGGTGTTTTCTGTGATGTAATTAATTGCTGGACATAAGCCTCTCTCCATATTCCTCCTCTCATTCCACAGTGAAATGGGTTCTGTGCAACAGGAGGACAGCGTAAAACTTGTTCATTTCTGGTTTTTCAGAGCAGACCAGAGAGAAATGGAAGGAAGACCTGCGAAGGAAAGTCTGGTTCTGAAGACATTGTCTGCTGGTTTCTAAACAGCTGAAGTGAAAGCAGAGAGGAACTGCAAACTTAACAGCATCGTTATTTGGAATTACAATCAAGTACTACATGATGGGGATAACCAGGTTAGGGGATGACCTGCTGGAAAGGAGAAGGACCTAGCTGTTCCAGTAAGGCCTCTGATTACAGAGCCCAGAACAGAACACAGTCCTCCAGATATGGCCTCACCAGGGCATAGCAGTGGGGGAGGAGAACCTCCCTCAGCTTGCTAGCCACTCCAGAGACTTTAGTGGACAGCTGTGATTTTTCAAATGTGATGGAGAGCGGCTCGGCAACCAAATCAGCCATCTCTTTCCAAGGGGATCCCACTCAGCAGTTCCTTGAGCAGCTGGAAGTTTGCTCTCCTAAAGCACCGGGCCCTAACTCTACTTTTTGCCAAGCCCGCATTCTTCAAGATCACAAACTCCACCAGGGTATGATCACTACAGCCCAGGTGGCCAAATTCTGACCACTTTAATGGTAAAGACTGGGCACACCTTCCAGCTTTCTCAATGGTAGAAAATCACTATCCGAATTTTCTGAGATTTTTAAGATACTGTCTAATCAATAGAAAAAAGTTTCTCTTCCCTGGCTTAGAAACCATGCATTTTTTGAATTGCTCTCTGATTGGTACTTATCCAAGTCTCTAATCCAACCTCTTCTAAGTTATGTGTTTAGCTTACAATATCAAACAGATTTGCATCTCCAGTACAGTTTCTAATTACAGAATCACTGAACCTCACCAGGGCATAGTAGTGGAGAGGAGAACCTCCCTCAACTTGCTAGCCACTCTCTTCTTATTGCACACCAGCAAACCATCAGCCTTTTTAGCCCCAAGGCACACTGCTGGCTCATAGAGTCATAGAATGGCCTGTGTTGAAAAGGACCACAATGATCACGTACTTTCAACCCCTGCTATGTGCAGGGTCACCAACCACCAGACCAGGCTGCCGTGAGCCACATCCAGCCTGGCTTTTAATGCCTCCAGGGATGGGGCATCCACAGCCTCCTTGGGCAACCTGTTCCAGCATGTCACCACACTCTGAGTGAAAAACTTCTTTCTAATATCTAACCTAAACCTCCCCTGTCTCAGTTTAAGACCATTCCCCCTTGTCCTATCACTATCCACCTTTCTAAAAAGCCATTCCCCCCCTGTGCCTACACTCCCTTCAAATATTGGAAGGCCACAATGAGGTCTCCCTGGCACCTTCTCTTCTCCAAGCTAAACAAGCCCAGTTCCCTCAACCTTTCCTCATAGGAGAGGTTATACAGTCTTCTGATCATCTTAGTGGCCCTCCTCTGGACCTGCTGGCTCATAGAGTCATAGAATGGCCTGGGTTGAAAAGGACCACAAGTTTCTAATTACAGAATCACTGAACCGTATGGGTTTGCTGGCAATGCAAATTTGGGAGAAGTGGCTGACATACCAGAAGGCTGTGCTGCCATTCAACAGGACCTGGACAGACTCGTGAGTTGGGCTAAGAGGAATCTTATGAGGAATCTACATCTGGGTAGGAATAACCATGTTCTTGTGAGGCCTCGTCTGGAGTACTGCATCCAGACCTGGAGTCCCCAGTACAGGAAGGACTGGAGCACTTAGAGCAGGTCCAGAGGAGGGCCACTAAGATGATCAGAAGACTGACCCAGGCCATTCTATGACTCTATGAGCCAGCAGTGTGCCTTGGGGCTAAAAAGGCTGATGGTTTGCTGGTGTGCAATAAGAAGAGAGTGGCTAGCAAGTTGAGGGAGGTTCTCCTCTCCACTACTATGCCCTGGTGAGGTTCAGTGATTCTGTAATTAGAAACTGTACTGGAGATGCAAATCTGTTTGATATTGTAAGCTAAACACATAACTTAGAAGAGGTTGGATTAGAGACTTGGATAAGTACCAATCAGAGAGCAATTCAAAAAATGCATGGTTTCTAAGCCAGGGAAGAGAAACTTTTTTCTATTGATTAGACAGTATCTTAAAAATCTCAGAAAATTCGGATAGTGATTTTCTACCATTGAGAAAGCTGGAAGGTGTGCCCAGTCTTTACCATTAAAGTGGTCAGAATTTGGCCACCTGGGCTGTAGTGATCATACCCTGGTGGAGTTTGTGATCTTGAAGAATGCGGGCTTGGCAAAAAGTAGAGTTAGGGCCCGGTGCTTTAGGAGAGCAAACTTCCAGCTGCTCAAGGAACTGCTGAGTGGGATCCCCTTGGAAAGAGATGGCTGATTTGGTTGCCGAGCCGCTCTCCATCACATTTGAAAAATCACAGCTGTCCACTAAAGTCTCTGGAGTGGCTAGCAAGCTGAGGGAGGTTCTCCTCCCCCACTGCTATGCCCTGGTGAGGCCATATCTGGAGGACTGTGTTCTGTTCTGGGCTCTGTAATCAGAGGCCTTACTGGAACAGCTAGGTCCTTCTCCTTTCCAGCAGGTCATCCCCTAACCTGGTTATCCCCATCATGTAGTACTTGATTGTAATTCCAAATAACGATGCTGTTAAGTTTGCAGTTCCTCTCTGCTTTCACTTCAGCTGTTTAGAAACCAGCAGACAATGTCTTCAGAACCAGACTTTCCTTCGCAGGTCTTCCTTCCATTTCTCTCTGGTCTGCTCTGAAAAACCAGAAATGAACAAGTTTTACGCTGTCCTCCTGTTGCACAGAACCCATTTCACTGTGGAATGAGAGGAGGAATATGGAGAGAGGCTTATGTCCAGCAATTAATTACATCACAGAAAACACCTGCATTTATAGGCAGGGAGATGCTGCATAATGGATCAGGCAGAATTCCCATTCCTCCTAGAGAACCAGCAAGCGTGACAACACGCCTCCTCCCTGCCAAAAGCTGCCTACCTTCTGGTATTCCCAAGGACTTGCCAAACACCGCGTTGGCATGGACGGCTCTATCCAAATCTCAGAGCACTTTGCTGCAGTGTGGATGAGAAGAGACACGAGAAATGCTAACAAAAAAATAAGGCCAGAGGCAGATGGGGAGGATCAAGATTTTATTTATTTTTATTGTATTGCTTTGCTTTTGGTGTTGGTTACATGTAACATTGTAGAGGACTAGGTAAGGAAGACTACTAAGGGCAGAAACAAGTCAGCTGATCCATCAGGGCACAGATGTATTCTTCAGGCATTTCCCTGTTCAGCTTTGGCTGGAGGTGGGGAAAGGACAGAGTGAGAGAGAATTCCTGGTGAAGCAATAACCAGAACCCCAGACGACTTCTCCGCATTCTGTGGTAGCCCCTTTTGTGCCATGTCAGCTTAAACCCTGTTAAAATCTGCGAACCTACGACACCTAAAATTGCCACGTTGCAGAAGGACAACATATTGGGAATGTTCATTATATCCATACTACAGAGAAGGAAGGAGAGGCATGAGCTATCAGAGTAAATGTTGTCTTGTGGCACATGGATTTCCCACAGGATTGGAAAAAAGAACCCAGGGCAAAGCTTGAAATTCACTGAAGACATGTGAACATTTCACCAAGGTGGCCGGGAGACAATTCCTCAATGCACTTCTGTATCTGCAGCATGGTGAAAGTGGCCTTGGAAAAGGTAGATACGCAGAGGTTGAGCATGGTGCTCTGTCCCAAGGAAGACTTCGGTCTCATTTGTACAATGTGAAACACACACAGGAAAAGACAAGTGCCTCTGTCTGACTTAAGGCGATAGCACTGAGATTCACGGTCTCAGTGAATAAAATGAAATATAACACGGGGTGCCCAGCATTATTTTCCCCCTCTGTACTACCGTATGACTCAAGCCTGCTGTAGGCATGGTAAAGACAAGCTCAGAGACTTGTTGTAGGCAAAGGAAGCCTAAGGTTTGCAAAAGACTTCCATTCAAAATAATTTGCAATAGGCTATTTGCTCCTATGTACCCTACCTGTGGCGCAGGGAGCACCGTACTCCTGTATGGCAAACTCATCTGAAAAACAGAAGGGAAGAGAGAGAGCAGGGCTGTCAGAGGTCCCTCTCCCAGGAACGCAGAGGGACAAGCAGAGGGACAGTGCAGGAACAGCTGTGGGTTTCCATTGCTCCCAGGCACCTCCATGAGTCCAGCTCCCCACAGTCACTCACCGGGACACCCTCAGCCCCACACTTACCTGTCTCATAGTAATCATACACCTTCACCTGAGCTGGCTTCAGGCCCTGCACAGGGATGTCCTGCTCCACCGTGAAGGAGAAGCTCAAGGTCACGTTGCTCAGCTGGGAAAAGGAAGTGATGGAGGATCAGTGTCCGCTTTCTGTCTGCCCTGGGCTCTCCTGCTGTCCCCTCACTGAACTCTTCCTACTAGTGCTCTTGCTGCCAGCAGTGCCCTGGGCACTGGGAGTGCATGTGCGTGTGAGCGTGTCCCTCAGCAGGCCTGGCTGAGGGACAAGGGGAAACCCCAGGACCTTTCCCCACACTGGGGGAGCTCATGTCTGGTGGGCAGGTGTAGGCTGATCCGTATGCAGGCCCAGAGGGAAAACCTGCTGAGGGCTGTGAGGAAGGCACCAGTAAATTCTGAGGTCAGCAAAAGTCAGTTCATTCCTACTTTTATCAGATCCATTTTTGAGACCCGTGTCTTTTGCCTTGGGTGGCCAAATGTCCCCAAGGCTTGTGTTTTTCTTTCCCATTCTAGCCCCAAACGGAGACTCACCTTTTCCAGATACACTAAGACATGGTTGGTACTGAACTCTGTACGCTCAATGACTTGGTGGTGTGCCAGCTGAAGAAAGAAGACCAAATTGTTATTGAATTGAGGGTGGTCCCCCTGTGCCGTTTTCACTGCCCCATGGACGGGACGCACTACGGATAAAGCACTAGGAGTACTGACAGCAGTGACTAGGCCTGCGTTGTGGAACTGACTCCCTGGTGCACCATTAGCCATTAATGGTCCCCAGGTCTCCCCTTCACCAGCCTGGCAGATTAAATACTGAGCAGCTCCAGCAGGGACTGATCACTGGTCCAAACACAGCAAAGAGAGGATTCAATGACAATGCATTCTTTTAGGCTTGCTAGTTCTGCAGTATCTTATAATCTCTGCTCTTTTCCAGGGCAACACACTTGCTCAACACCTCACAAAGGGACCTGAGCCTTAAACAATTACAAGACAAGCTATAAACTATATGGTAAGATCAGCAGAAGGAAAAAGAAACCAGTATTGCTTTTGAATGTGATACACACGGACAATGTTTTCAGCAAGGTATCTGAACTCAGAGATAACCCATCACCTGCCCAAAGAGAAAAAAACAAACATAGTCTGTTTTACACAGATGGATCACGTAGTACTGGCTTCCAGCCAGGTGTGGAAAGAAAAGTACTGTACACACATCATCTGTGTAGATGACAATGGCAGGATCAAGACGATGTCAATCCTAGAGCCCCCTAGTAAGCCACAGACACCTGGAACGTGTCTTAAAAATAAAGGAGAAACTGAATGTGGCCCAGGTGATAAAATGAAAGGGGCAGATATCCTCAGACAAGCAATTCACGTGGGTTCCTACCTTCCTCACTGAGGACTTGACAGGGATGAATCCCGACAGCATTTTCACATCGATAATCACCATGTTGGAGACACTGCGCTCACCCACGTAACTAAGGAATCAAGCCACAGAGATTCAGGGCATGCCATGTCAAAGCTGGGGCACTTCCACTTTTTCTGTAACACTTGACACCTCACCACTTCCTGTCAATCCAGCACCTTCTTCTCCAGCCTGGTCACCTGTGCCGCCCCTCAGTAGCCCAGCGCTTTGCTCCCTGCACAGCTTATCCCCACAGGACATCTCTTGCCTCCACAGCCTCTCCTCCCAGCCCGGCTGCTTCCAGCCCACTTCGCAGTCCAGGTGGCTGCTCCGTCCCTTCCAGACCGGCTCCCCCTGCACCACCAGACCTCCTCCAGCTCCCTCGGCTACTCAGGAGGGCTCAAACCAAACACAGACTTACCTGACGTTTATGCCTATGTCAAAGGCCTTGTGAGCCTTGGAGTCCTCACACGTCTCTGGTCTCGTGTGTACATGCAGCAGGAAGGGCGCGCTCTCCTGCTTGGGCTGCACGTTGTACCTCAGGCTTGTCTACGGGAGAGCCAGCAGCTGTGTGTGTGCATGCTCAACGCTTGAAAGAGATCATCGTCTGCCTGCCCGGCTCTCCCCCTTCCCCACTCTCACAGCTCCCCAGCACTCACGGCTCTTTCCCTCTTTCACTGTCGCTCCGTTCTCCACGCAACTCTGCTCCTCTCCGGCTTCTCCCGGAGCTTTCCCTTGCGCTCCTCCCCCTCTCCCTTATCCCTTCTGCCCTCCCCCTCGCTCCTGCCTGAGAGAGGGCTCCCCTGCCAGGACAGCACTTTCCCCACCACCCTCACCTGCAGGTAGACGCATCCCTTGCCAGACACCTCTACGCTGTACTCCCCTGGCACCTGGGGCAGGGGCACGTGCTGGAGCAGCAGCCGGTTTGAGGGGTCCACGTGGAAGTCTTGCTGGAAGTCCCCTCCAGATCGCAGGGTCACTTTGGAAGCTGCTCCGCTCTTGGCATAGGTGGAAACTCCGTACAAGGAGAGGGCTTGCAGAGCCACAACTGTGTCCTGCAAGAGCCAGGCCCGACACCCATGGACAGGTTAGCCCTCTTAACCATCCCACATCCTGTTCTCCCACAGCCCGCCCTTTGCTGTCAGCAGGCACCCTCTCCTCCATTCTTCACTTTCTCTGGTCTTAAGCGAGAAGCTGAGAGGGAAAGATCAGCCTTTGCAGGCGCCCATTTTCTTCCCGTGTCCTCCTGAACTTGCTGTGGCGAAGCTCTGTGCAGCCTTCACCTGTTCTCCCCGGGGAAAAGCAGCAGCTGCATACACACACAAACTATGGCGGGAGCTCCAAACTGCAGTGTCATTTGTGTCACCAGCATTCTCACCCACTGGCTCAAATAAGCCAGGTCATTAATCAGCGTATCAGTCATTCCCTGCGGTGCTACCTGACATACTGGCCTTGGCCTCTCGGGAACTCGGTAGCTGCGGCAGATGCTAATACTGCGGGGCCACAGTCCCCACTTGGCTTAACCTTAACTGCGCTCCCACCCTGGTCTCTGGCACTCTCCTGATATTGATATGGGAGGCCACAGGAGGGAAACTGCTGCTCACCTGGGTGGAGGAGAAGCCTCCGTTGGGATTCTGCTGACCAATGATCCACTTTGCAATACGAGATGCGAGTGACAGCTCCTCCTGCGAAGGTGCTGGCTGCGTGGTGAGGTGAGCAAGGAGCACATAGGCTGTCATCTCCACTTCAGCAGAGGGAGCTTTATAGCGGTAGTACGGGAGATCAGCCTCTGGCTCTTTCCCAGGCCGCTGCCAGTGAACAGACCCATCTTCACAGGAGGCAGGGTACATGTAGAGAAGACAGCAAGGAATTAGTAGCAGTTTCTTGCAAGGGAGTTACTGACCTGCTGCCAGCGAGGAGGAGAGAGCCCCTGGCATGTACCTGTCCTATAGGATGAAGTGGGAAGGGTTAGATAGCCCCACACTCGATGCGTGTTTACAACTAGTCTAAGAGTGCCGAGGTTCCTGGGCCTGGATGCCACTTTCACTTAAACTCCAGATTGACAGACACATTTACACGTTTGGACACCTAAAGGAGACAGAGACCTAAGAAGAACACCAGGCTGGCACACTGCCCCGTTTTGAGAAGTGGTACTTCCTTCGCAACCCTGCTGGACAACATTTGGGCAAACGGACCATCCAGGCTGACTTTACCAGAATGGTTCTGAGTCTTGACACAGTTTCCTGGAAGACTCAGTGCTTATGCTAGGACCTCTGAAATGACCCATTCTGTCTCAGCACTTCCATCTCTTCTCTGATGTATCATCCCTCACGCTGTGAGGGGTAAGCTTTGTTCTGTGTTGAGCGTGTCTGCTGGAAGGAAGGAGCGGCTATAAACATTGCTAAGACTTTGTTAAAGCAGTGCCTGCGATGACAGGAGGAGTAGACTGACATGAGGCATTAGCAGAGCCACCCTTTTGTTCATCACCAACGGGAATGGTGAGGGGTGCCTCCAGACGAATCCCTCAGAACAGAGGGGTAGGACGGGGCACCCACGATGAGCCGTCAAAAACACAACCACACTGCACAAGCATTTCCTCTCCCTACAGCTTTCCCCATCCACAGAAGCCGTTCCATGCTCCCATTTCCCCACCAACAAAAGCCATTTTATCAGAGGTAGAGGTAAGATCTGTGGGATGGAAGAAAGCAATGTCCCACCAAGAGCTCTCACCCTTTTGGACGGCTTCCTTTTCAAGTGAGCCAAGGAACGCCTTCCTCTTCTCCTCCTTCCCTGCCAGGGCAAAGGCATATGCCAGCAGTGCCTTGGTGTACACGTGGTTTTCTTCCCCATTTCCTGCCGTTTCCAGGCAGAACAGAGCATTGCGCACCACCGAGTGCTGGGGAGATGGAGACACTAAGACCAGGCAGCAAGACGTCATACTGAAGTCCATCTCAGAACAACAGGAACTGTATGGTACCCACGGTCCCTTTACAACCCTAGCACACTGTCTGATATATATTGTACCACTGTCTTTTCCTTTCCCTCCAGGTCTGCTTCCTTATGTGACATATGAGTAACCAAAGAGTGTTCTTTATTCTGTACCTTTCTTTTCTCTGAAATATCTTGTTACAATGATTTTTGTGAGCAGTTCAGTGATTTTGCATTGAAAGTTTGAAGCAAGGTCCAATATTCTTCTGCCTATGGAAGTATTCGCTGCCTGACGGTGCGTTGCATCAACACAGTAAGCCCATACAGGTCGTCTAACAGGCACGTACAATTCTGACACAAAAGGAGTTTTTCTTACAGATGTAAAAAACCTATCTGGGTCATTTCTGAAATTTAAATGTTATTTAACTCACTGTGAATCCACGGAGTACTCTTTACAATGAGCAAAAGCAAGATACCCCAGAAATGAACTTAGGGGAAGATGAAGTGAAATGTTTGCATAAGAGACAGTACTGGACAGGGGAGGAAAGTGGAGAAAAAGCGTCAGTCCATCTTGGACTTGAAAAGAAAGAAAGTATATCCAGATAGAATTTCTTCTTTCAAAATATAAAGGGGCCTAATTATCTATAGGAGGCTAGTGGGGCAGGTTAGTACCGTCTGTGACTCAGGTGACACATACAGTTACAGGCAGAGGAATCTCCAGCAGTGCAATAGTGATGTAGGCTGTCAGTGTTACCTCATTGTTCACTCCACCCTGCAGGGAAACGTAAAATTAGGTGCTTACTCCACACATCTTCTCAAAGTCATTTTTCTACCATTTCTATGGGTATACTTGATTCTGTATTGTAGCCCCTTAGCTCGTGTCCTCCCCACTGATGCTCATATTGTGCCGTTTATGGATTGCCTTGTTCTCCTTCTTGTCATGGCAGTCACACAAAACGGCCTCTGGCTTTTTAGTTCTTGCCATTGACATGGGAATTCCCCAAGGGCCTGTGTGCTCAAGAAGCTCAGCTGCAGCCATCTGATTTAGAGTCAAGTGCCAGCCTCACTAAGATCCAGCTATGCTACCTTCATGGCATTGTTCAGGAGCATCCCAGAGCTGCGGAAGCAGCCATTCTCCTTCTGATTTTGACTGAGCCAGATCAAAGCATCCTGGATGTGCTTTTCATCTATGAAGACGTAAGACCGGGCCTGGGCAAAGGACTTCAGGACAAAGGCTGTGAGCCTGTAAGGGAGACAGAACAGTGAGAGGGCTTGTGCAGGCCTGCTGCCCATGCCAGGTGACAGAGCACATGTGCACTTCACTTGTCTGGAAGAAGGAAAAGCGGCTTGGAGATCTGCAGGTCAATTAGTCAGACACGAAGTACGCCTTCACCACAAAGAATCTGCCAAAAAAAGAATCTGCTTCTTGCCTTGCTTTCTTTTCTGCCTCTTGGCCCATATAACCCTATGATCCTGCTGCATTGAGGCTACCCTTTTGAGGACTTCGGGTTGTTAATGTGTATCCAAACAAATGTCTTTGGAAAACGGTAGAGTATTGCATGCCGATTAGCTCAACATCTGTATGAGAGTAAGAATCAGAATAACAAGAAAGAATCAATCCACAGAAGCTTATGGTCTGCTGGCAGGACTCTCTCTCCAGATAGCCATGTCTCAGGGGCCCCCCAGAATTCCCAAGAGATGTCAGTAAAACTGTGGATAAAGTATAACACGCTAGAAGAGCTTTTACATAGCAGTTACGGGGAAAAAAGCTAAAAAACTAGGCATGTAGAGAGGCCAATTACTCCCAGGGCACAAGTACTGTTTCAGAGTCCAAAAGCAAGGTGATGAAAGCATCCATTCTTACCCTTACCTAAAGCTGAAAATGCATGGTAACAACATGCTGGAGTAACTCAGAGCTTTGCAGTAAATCACACTGGCAACACACCCTCTCCTCCAGGCTGTCTTTTGTTTGGTAACAAACGCATTTGGAAGATAACCATACAGCACTGCTTTTGGATTATTGTCCTTTACGAAAATACTTTTCCCAGCAGTTCTCAGCAGATCCTACTCTGGAAGAGCTGCCACTGCAACTCTTCAGCTTTCTTCATTTGGGATGTGAAATCCCTTCTCCCTCCTTTCCCACTTTGTTTTTGTCTGTCTTTCTCGTCCATCATAGTCCTCGTAGCTGCAAGGTGGGAGGAGATGCTTCAGCTACATAACTGGCTGATGCAGCCTCTTTCCTCACTTAAGAGGCAGCACAGGGCCCACAGCAGCTCTGAAAAGTCCACTGGTCTACAACTACATTTCTTATTTACCATCAGGTGGTATTTGTCATAGCTGCGTAGCTGAGAAAGAGAGCATGTGGAAGAGGAGCAGATGACACTGAAATCTCACCAGGTGTTCCCCCGTTGGCCGTAACGTGGTCCAAAGGTACTGTAAGAGCCATCTGGGTGCTTGTAGTTCATCTGCCTCTGATAACCTGCAGAGTTTAAAAAAAAAAAAAAAAAAAAAAAGCTTCATCAGCGACAGCAAAACAGAGAAACAGGTTAGTCCTATCCTAGCACATACAACCCCACCTCCATATACTGCTTATACTGCAAGAGATGCAGTATCTGCCTTTCTTCAGAAGGCGGGCAGGAGACACATTAACAGCAATGGACAAGCCGCTGCAGCAGGTCACCTGGTATCGGTGCACTGCATTCCAGTTCCGTTAAGGAGCAGAGAAAAGTGGGTGAAATGACGAGGTTCTTGAATGCATAAGAAACAGAGAATAGAAAAAGGACATGGGAAAGACTTCCCTGGCATACAGAAGAGACCATCTGAGTAAGAGACAAGCTGTATCTGGTCAGCATGTGACAGAAACAAGCCAGACAAGTTCTGAAAAAGTTCAGAGCAGAAGCAAAAGTCCCGCTCAACTCACCGCTCACTAAGTATCCAATGGCCTTGGATTTGACCTCCTCACTCAGCTGTCCTGTCTTGTTCAGATAGTCCAGGACATAGACGTTGGGTGCAAACAAGACCATGTTCTGTTCGCCACAACCAAATGGCATCTGGAGTAGCTGGTGCAGGTTCTGCATGGCGGTGCCCATGAGATCGCCTAAGGAACAGGGAATACAAGAGGGATATTAATGAAATTCAGCGTTAGCTGCCAAAATCAGAGGGATCTACAGAAAAACAGAAGGAGGAGATGGCAGAATATCTGGCAGAAATATCTGGCAGAAAAATCTGTATTGATAACAATCCTGGAATGACACACAGAGCACAACAATGAAAAAAAAGGAGGGTGGTAAGTCAACGGATAGATCACTAGCGGAGAAACCCGGACAGAATGAGATGCAGAAAGAGCAACAAACGAAACAGAATTGAAAGGGAAAGCACTTGAGACAGAAGAGAGGAAAGGCAGGAACGAAGTGTGCTTGGAACCAGGAGAAGAATCTGTGTGAGAGCTAGGAGGCGAACACAGTCATGCAGATGGGCAGAAACAGCACGTTTCTTTCTCCCAGCAGATCCTTCCCAGGCCGATCACTCACCTAGCACTGAGAAATATGCTCTGCCTGAGTCTTGGACCACATTTGAGGGAAGCAACAGAGAAAACTTCTCTTTCACAGACTCTCCTGAGAGAAACAAGATGAAACAGCTTCAATGTAGACCCAAGCTTAAAGGAAGGGGCAGGGCCTTCAGTGGAACATCAGAAAAGTTTCCTCTTCCCTTCATCCCTTGCTATACATAAAGATGTCTCTGGGCCCCAAGTGAAGGGTCCTGTTCTGATTATCTACAATCATACAAGCGTCTGAGTTGGAAGGGATCTTTAAAGGTCGTCCAGTCCAACTCCCCTGCAACAAACAGGGACACCTACAGCTCTGCCAGGTCGCTCAGAGTCTGGTCTGGGCTGACCTTGAATGTCTCCAGGAACGGGGCGCACACCACATCTTTCTGGGCAGTTGTGCCATCATAGGAAGGCCACAGAGGGTTGGTCATCCAGGACTTGTCCTTGGTGAAACTAGGAGTACTACAAGTACTACTAAAATATACTAGAAATAATTGTTGCAAGCTATATAATGAAAAATGAATTCACGTAAAAAAAATGCAAGTGGTACAAGCACAAACTTCCCCGTTTGTGTATTTTACAAACTACAGAACTCATTCACTAGCCATTCATGTAAGACTCTCCCAGCAACATCTGGCGTGAATAAGTTTTGAAGAAGTTTGAATAACATGGCAGTTTACTCAGAGAACGACATCTTGTCTCATTGCCCCTTATCACCACTTGTAGAATGATATTTGTAAAATATCAGCCAACCTGGAAAGCGGTAGAGGCAGCGCTGTCTTCTTCCTCCAGGCATGTCCCACTCATCACCCACACAGAAACAAATGGTGGGCAGGGAGGGAGGGCCTTACCTTTCAAACAGAGCACAGAGTTCTGAACAGTTTCCTTCTCAACTCCTTCAGGCTTGGGTGGAATGAAAGAAAACAAGAGAGGTGAGAAATTATTGAGCATACAGACAGAGGGATGCCTAACAAGGAAAGAGGAGCAAGTAAGTGAAAAGTGAACAAACAGGAGAAGGAGAGGCAGTGACAAACACTCCCTGTAATATAGAGAAAGGACTCTGAAATATCAATGCAAGTAAAACAGTCATACTCCTAAATTATTGGAAAGAACAGGAAAAGAAGAGCAACAACACTGCAGGACCATCACGAGGGTGACCTGCAACTACTGTATGCAGTGAGGCTCCTGCATCCTTGTAACAAAAGGGCTGCAGCATTACAGCGAGTGCTTTTGTTAGCAGAAGTTCACAGCACCCCTAGAGGGCCGCTCAGAAGCCGTCTGCAGGGCTATTGATCATAAGTTGCAGACACTGGAGGAAAAAGATCTGTTGAGAATAGAAAGGGGAAATGGGCGCGATGGTATCTGGTGACGCACTTGATGCAACACAGGCAAGTGGCACGAGAGGCTGTTTCACGAGAAAAGAACATCAGGTACCGCTGTCAAGTTACGGCACTCGGCATAATAATCCGTGGGGTCTGCTCCAAAAGTAATGCCTCCTATTTTATCATGTCAGGATGTGGGAGGTATGGCAGGAGAGGCTGAATTTTCCCATCAGTATTCCATTACATTTTGCTGCCATGCAACACGTGACTACGGAGAAGCAATGTGAAAAATGACATCTGACATGGAAGTCATGGCGTACGAAGAAATGGTGTGCATCTGAACAGAAAAAATCGCACCCACTGACATTCATTGGTGCCTGCAGAACATTTACGGAGACCAAGCCACCCACCGCCTCACTGTGCTAACATGTCAGCAAGATTTTTTGAAGCGTGGAATGCAGGCAAGATTTTTATAAGTGCTGCATGCACTTAATTGCTGGCAAAAATGCACAGCTACTGGTGGCGACTATGTTGAAAAACAGTATTTCGTAGGTGAGCATTTGCTCTATCAGGCTGTGCTACTGTTCTTTCGTGCCTGTTGTAGTTTCCATGAAATTAAACTGGAGGCATTCATTGTGGAACAATCCACGTAGCATTTTCCTATAACAAACTGTACAGAACTAACTGCCACATCATGTTTCATTCCATACCACCTAGTATCAGCCGTGGAAAACAGATAAGCTGTAAAACTGTAACACGTTCTCACGGACTGTTTTAATATGTAGAGTTTGGGAGGGGGACCTTTATACAGGCATCTAACTCCCACAGGTACTTTGAATTCCCCACCTTCACCCTGGTGCCAGACCAAAGGTGTGTAACACGCAGCATAACAGGCAGTTTGCTTGGCTACTCGACTAGCAGAGAGACAGCACGTGCTGACGGGCAGACCTACTGGGTAAAGCTGTAAAGACAGCGTCCTGAAATAGGAGGTAACATGAAGCAGATATAGGGAAGGGTGAATTGGACTAGGAGTCTTTACAGTAGAGGATGGGGAAGTTTTAAAATAGAGAGTAGAAGGAGATGCACTGCACAGCTGTTAACGTGCAGACTTTGTGCATTCTAGTCAAGTATAATGGAAGACCACAGTTTCAATGGCACCGTGTGCTCATCACCCCGAGCTCTGTTAAATGTGTCTAGCTTGTGAGTCACTGCAGCCTGCTGCCCACAGCCTGCATACCTCCACCAGCAGCTGCCTGATGACCGTGTCCTTCCGCCCTTTCTCAGGGGTCTCCACTACGGTGTTTCCGCATGGCTGCTGGTTCTGCAGGGCCTCAGTGCTCACCAAGAACTCCACCAGCCCTGGAGGAAACAAATCAGTCAGTCCTGCCTAGCGGCACCATGCAGCAGGAGTTGCTGCCATTCCTGGGAGTTTTCAGCCTAGAGGTCCGTCGCAGATGGGGCCAGCTTCTTTCCCGTGGAAGCTTAGCTATTCACATCAGAATGAATCCTGGAGCAGCTGAGCTGCACTGCCATTGAAAGGTGACTCTGTTTTGGTGCTTTTATTCACCAGAACTTAAGAGCACCATAGTGGTGCCAAAGCTGTTCAGCAGTCTGCTACTCTGCATGCACACCGTGACTGCTACCACAACATGCAGCAACAGCAAAAGCAAACTGTGAGGGTCTCATAGGGCAACTGTCTAATCTCTGGGAGGGATGGGGCTGACAAAATGTCCTTGCCAGCCAGCCAGCAATGCCTATAGCTTCAGAAGATGTTGCCCAGGGGCAGTAAGATTTGATGATGTTTCTTTTAGTGCTAGACACGGCCGTGGAGTCTACCAGGCTTTACGTCCCGCATAACCTCAGATGACACACACAGCTGCAGTATTTTCCAGGAAACTGTTGCTCTAACTTCGGATACCAAAATGGGAGAACAGCACAGAGAATTCCTTCCTGCAGCTTTCAGCATTCTTTGACTTTTACCTAGAGATTTGGGAGTCACCAGCCAAGCCACTGTTTTCCTCCCGTTCTCACAGAGACAATGAGAGTCTTCCTCCTTTTCCACCGCAGTAGCCAGAAATTGAGTAGACTGAGCCAGAATCACCCTGACCTGCCATTTGTAGAGAGGTGTAATCAAGGAATGGTCTTGAGAGAAAGGGAGAAGACAGAGAGCTAGGAAAAATTAGCAATGTCTATTTCTTCTGCAGCAAAGGAGCAGGAAGCTGGAGTTGTACGCGGGCATTTCAAGCACGTTGAAGGTGTAACGTAAGAATTTCAGGGAGGAAGCGGCCCAAGGCTACTCAGAGATAAGAAAGAAGGCTAGGTGTAGGCAAAGAGCATGCAAGCAGGTACAGGTATGGAGAAGGATTTCAGTCTTCCTTACTCTGATGCAGGCTGTCAGGTAGTTGAAAACAGTGGCTTTCAGCGTGAAGGCCTCACCACGCACTACAGAGTAAGGTAGGGTGAGCTCTACAAAGAAAGGCTGGAAGGCTCTGAGGGACACTGTTGGTGACAGGCCAAAGCCTGTGTCTGGGGACATGCAGAACGCACTGGCTTTCCATTCAGTGATGGTGTCAGGAATGGTCACTTCTACTTCAGCATTTCCCTCAGAGCTGGTAGGGACAGAGAGCAGGGTTTCAGTCATATTCTGGAGATCATCTATTTTTTTTCCTCAGCCTAATGAACAGCCACTACTCACAGCAAATTCCTGTCCAGTTAGTATATGGGCACTGTGTTTTGCAGATCTTCCCAAAACATTCTGTACTTAGCATTCTTGAGCAATCCCTCTGTCTACTAAAATATCCGCTCACCAAAATATTGACACTTTTACAGAAGCTTAACTATCTTCTGAAGTTTTGCCCCAGTTCCCATAAACACTTACTTCACTGAAAATACGTCCCAAATCCATGTCTCAGGGAAGTACTTCCGGATGGTCTCCACAGGACTGCCAGCATCCGTCTGTTTTAACATTGCATAGTCTGAATCATCAAGGAGTTGTGAGGCACTGACTAAAAAAATTTGTTACAGGAAATGATAAGTCAAACTCCATTCTAATCAAGGAGGATACATTGCTTCCAGTTAGTGGTTATTTTTTAATAGAATTATAACATTGAAAGAACAACTTGAATAATTTGATCATGGGAAGACTCACAGATTCAAACTGTGAGCTGCCTCTTTGTTGGAACTGAATACAGCATTCCCTGTATTACATTCTTATCCTCACATCAACTGCTCATTGGAAACAAATGTATTGTTCTTTTGTCATTTCAATATTTCATGTTTTCTAAAGCTTCTTCTCTTACAGGGGTTGATCATTCTAATTCCACTGCCAGCAAATCCAGGAACACCAAATGTTGTAACAATGGCTACTGAGGGTACTTTTCTGTTGCACTAAAGAAGTCAAATGTGGAACTCACTGCCTCCAGATATTATGGTTGCATATAGCTTAACAAATTTCATTTAGCGGATTGTATTTATACATGGCCAGAAACTGCAGTTGCACTTATCCTTCCAGAGTTCCAGAGTAGGGAGACCAATTCTGACATTGTTTCACAGTGATGTGCCTTATGAAAGGCTTTCCATCAGTCTTTGAAGTCTCTACACCCTTTCATAGTGCACAGTAGTCTCAGGCCGTGTTCTGAAGACAGATCTGGCGTTTCAAAACAGAAGATCAGATCTGTTATGACTAGGAGCTTCCTCAAGACTAAAGGCTATTGTTTGTAATATTAGCTGAGCTACTGTACCACAAAAATAAGTAAATAAATAAATAAAAATCTCACAATCTAGTTATTTAGGAAAAAATGGAAAAAATCAGTCATTTAGGAAAAAAAGTAATGTTTTTTTTTTTGTCTTTACAGTCACTGATGCTGCAAAGAAGTGAAATGACCTACACAGACTCTTTAAATCATATGAATGGGAAAACTGGGAACAGAACAGAGTTTTCCCACCCTCAGCGCAACACATCAGCCCACAAATTCATATCACCTTCTCATCACCTTGGCCTACTTGTGCCATAGTTATTTCCCTAGTAATTGCTGGAATGTAACTACCTTGAAGTAGAGACTGTCACTGTTTAGGTTGCTATAGGTAAACCCTGATTTGGTGGAATAAAGCCTACTCTTCATGCTTGGCAGTCTATCCAATGTAGATGGATGGTCTTAGCATCTACGGGATCCTTGCTGTAGAGCTTGGCATGTGATTCACTGAGCACACAGTGTTAACCAGATATTTCTTTTTAGGTGAAGATAAGGTGTATCAGTTTCATATTTCAGGACTGAATCCCGAAGGAAGTGATACTGAATTAGGCTGACATATCTTAGTACAATGTTTGATTGTTCTAGTGTAATTAGTATTCAAAGAAGTAGAGGCGAAGGAAGGAGCATGATGGTAAATTTTAGGTAGTTGTTTGGAGATAAAATGAAGCAGGTCTTCTTACTAGAACCACTGTAACTCCTTTCCATCATATGTGCTGTGTAATGCTGGCAGACTTCAGGTTTATGGATCTTGTTGCTAGTGAAGACTTTTAAGCCTATTAGCTGTTAAACAAAAAAGAAAGAACAATAAAAAAGCAAATAAGCTTTTGAAATTAAGCTATTTTTAATATGCCAAGCATAGATGTATCTGGAATTGGTCAGAACAGTAAAGGCTTGTATATAAATGCTAAGTAGACTGGTTCAACCCACATTATTGAAGCTTTATCATGATATATTCATCCCAAGGCTAAATCCTGACATGATTAGATGAAAAGCTTCGAAGACCATAGTCTACCTCGGGGACATCTGTCTTGGTGAAAATGATGTGTGAAAAGCACATTGAATTGAAAGTACGCAAAAAAATTACAAGCAGGACTCTTCAGATTTTTTTTTTTTTAGTGGGTTATTACAGTAACCAGAACTTTATTAAGCCACTATCTACACCAAACAGAGAACTTGCATGACTGAGGAAGGGATTTCTGGTATTAGGCCAGTACTCACGACTGTTTCCTTATTTGAGCCTATTCACCAGCTTCTGCCCTAGCACTGAGGAGTTTTAATGGTTTTTTAATGGAGTTTTAAAGGTTTTAATGGCTCAGAGGAGCACTTAGGTACCAGCAATGGGCTATACAGAGGCAGGGACTGGGCCTGGCTGTTGTCTTGCATACACAGATTAGCAAGCTCACAGCAAACTTCATTCAAAAAGACCTTCAAGATGGGGAAGAAAAGTAAAGGATGCTGTATTCTAAAAAGAAATAAAAAAAAATCAAATTCTGGTGCTTACTTTGAGAATTTCATAAACATCACCTTCACCATCAGGAGAAATGGGTACATAGGTGAATCCATTCAGTAATATGTTGTCAAGTGACACACAGGGGTTTACATCTTCTTCTTCCAAGTAGTAGTCCTTGAAGCTATAGCCCCGGAGTTCCTTGAGTGGGAGAAGGTTATACACCTTGGAAAATACAAACAACCAGGTAAAAACGTGGCAAGTTAGCCCTCACAGGGACACAGAAACTAACAGTCCAGTGATAGAACACGGCTACTAAAACCAGTTATGGTGAATGCCATACATGGCCTGGTATCCATCCTGGTGTTAATAAGTACCTAGTCAATTTTTTTATTACTTACTACTAGAAACAGCAAAGACTTACGGAGTTGGGAGAGAGTTCATCTTCAGGCTTCATGAGGAGGACGCTCCTGTCCACAGCACGGAGGGCACACAGGGACCTTGGTGAAGAATGGAGTTTCAGGCTTGTGTTGGAGGCAGGAAGTTCTTCCTCGGGTACAAAACTCAAGCTGACCTGCAACACCAGAAGTTAAAGTAGCCAGTTTTCCAGATGCTGTTACACGCTCTTAGATACTGAAGTATCTAGCTTTGTGAATTGAGTTCTGCTAGTGCTCTACAACTCTTCTAATGTATTCAGCTTTTACTAGTGTGATTCATAATGACTAGCAGTTATCTTTGTTATTATGTTTTCCTTCATTTTTGCAGTTATGGCTTTGTAACCTATTCTGAATATAAGTTACTAAACCTCAGTCAGTGTCTGATGAGACAATTTCATGAACCCATTGTGAATTCTGCCTCCATGATGGTATTAATAACTGAACGTATGGCCATGAAGAAACAGAAACGCTGATTTTTACTTACTTTATTGAAAAGGCAACTTTCAACCCGGAATTCTCCTGTACTAGCAATGACTTCTCCACTGGGTGAAGTGGTATACACAAGCATTTGTGCCAGGGGAGCAATTGTCACATCAACAGGTAAGATCAACTGGAATATCCCATAAGCTGAAAGAAAGAAGAAATATTAAGCTATATAACAAGATGTTCCAGCCTATATATTTGTCTTCTTGATATAAAGAAGTTCACAACTTTAGTTAGGAGGGGCATGAAGTCTGCATGACTGAAGTCCATGCTTATTGCTGAAGACATCTGCATTCAGTTGTGATAGTGATTACGTAATAGCCAAATTAGATGTTTTGTGGGTCTCAACATGCCCTCTGGATCCTCTCATCTTCTCCAGCTATCATCTGGCATTACCTCCTAATGTTCCTAGCCCCTTTGTTCCTCAAGCTCTAAGATCTTCTGCAGTCTACAAAACAATAGATGACCAAAAAAGAACATACATAGAAATTAGGGAGAGTTGTAGCATGCAGTAGCAGTCAAGGCTGCAGTATGATTGAAAGAAAAACTCCTCAAAGTTATTCCTAAGCTAATATTTAGCTGAACACCAAACTTTTACCCCAGCTACTGTGGGAAGTGCTCCTTTATATTGAAAGGATCTTTCTAGGTGGGCCTGAGTTTTATTTCACAGTTTGTATGAAGGTGATAGAAAGTCTCTTGGTATGAGTCAGGGTGTTAGTTTAGTTACTACAACTAGTGGGGAAGCAGAGTTTTCTAACACCCTCTCGCAACATCATGTCCTGTAGCAACCAAGATCTTTTAGTTCTGTATACAGTTTATTCCCACTATGGTGCAAATCCTCATAAACTTCCAAAATGGTTTCCCTGGTCTCATTGTCAAAAGACTTTTAAAGATGCAACACAGACAGTCTCAATCACTCAAATGTGTAATCCATGGACATTTATGTGTACAGAATTACATACCTTGGTTGGAACATACATATATACATGTTTTCACAATTATAAGAGAGAAATAACATCCTCAAAGATAAATTAAAAAGAGAGACAGAAGGAAAAAGAGACATCTTCCAACTCACCTGTGAACCTTACAACATTGACAAGTACTCACAATCAGAATTGTTTACATCGGTCAGCAGGAAAGCATTGAGAAAAAAAATTGTGTGTATTTTCTGTTATATCTTCTAAAATATTTTGGTCAAAAGCATAGCAACAGAAAGAATTCAGACAAAACAAAACCAATTCAAACTACTTAATCTAAGAAGAATTTAATTTCACAACGTTCTTCAGTTTTTTAAAATGTTTGAACTGAAATAATTTCTCTATATCCTCCTACCCTCATCTCACAGTAGATGCTAAAAATCCATATTTCTACTCACCATTTCCAGGATCCACAGTCAGATCATAGGTGTCTGCTAACATAATACTGCCCTTGGCCATCACCTATGTAACAGAGAAAGATTTCCATAATCACTGCTGGTGGTGATGAAGGGAAGAAAAATGAATGTTCACTGGGTAAGCTGTAGGATATGTGAATACGAATAGTAGTAACTGGGAGCGAAGAAGACATTAAGCAAGAGTCAGACTCAAATTTACTAAGTTTTTTAAGCCAGAAATGTTCGCTCCTTGAAAGACCAGTGTTTCCTCATTAGTCAGATCCAGTTTCCCTTTTGTACACATTACATGTATATTTCAAGTTAAAATGCACTTTGCCTCTGAACTCACAAAGGTTTGTGGGTTGATGTGCACTTTTCTAACATTTTTGAACAGACTGATGACCAAAGATTGTCCTCACTTTACTCTCATTTGCTTTGTGAAACACAATAGAGAAAAAATGAATCAGAATTATTTCCATAACTCACACAGAGTTTGAATAGAAGAACACAGGCTGTAAACAACAAGTACTTGAATAAAGTACCTGAAGCCAGACTTAAAACATTCTGAATGCTGCCTGCAATTTTCTCATTTCAAGGAATACTTTCCTTTCTACAACCCCAAATGCTCTTTATACAATTACTTCACACTCCTATACTCTATGGGAGATATCTGTGTCATAATACTGCGTATTATAATACTGCATATTACTGCATAATACTGCATAATAATGCTATGACACTGTATTTTAATTTCAAGGTGTGGCTATAAAATGTAAGTTTCCTGACTGCTTACCTGCTCCAATTAAGATAATCTTTCCCAAGCTACTAGGATAAACAGGAATCCTATGTTTCAATTTATGGTTAACAGTCTTGACATATCACATGGATATGTCTACCACAGTTTTCTATTCCCTTTCTGTTTTTTTATGTCTATTCCCCTGATTTCTTCTAGATCTGCATAGCTAGAAGAAATCTCATCTCTTCTGTTAGTATCACTAAATGAAATAGCCAGGAAAAAAAATTAGGGGGAAAGAAATACTATCTGAGTGTTCACTTGATTCTTTCTCTTTTCCCAAGCACAAGTCATGGACCATTGTTCAGTCACAGCTGAATTAGTTTATCTTCTCTGCCCTCAATACAGGCATATTACAATTTGTTCCAGTGGCCTTGGTATCCTGAACTTTCCATCACTGATTGATCTACGGAAAAAAAAAAAAAAAAAAAAAAAAAAGAAAGACTCTAAATTTATCAAGCTTTTCCAATTCTGTAGCTAGAGGTTTTAATTTAGTTTCAGTGGCCAGGTATCTACCAAAAGACTGAGAAGGAAACAGGTTTCCAGATCATCTTTCATCTTCTCGTAGAATGCTAATTTCTGAGCTGTAACCGTTTAGGAACCAGAATGTGGAATGGGATAGGAGAGTATTAAGAAATGAGAGTCTTGAAAATATTTTGTACATCAACATTTTGTCTCTCATCTGTTCTTAAGCAAACACAGGCAACCTACCCAAGTCAAAAAATGGAAGACAACATGGGAAACATTATGGAAATTTGTTTAAGTCCAACTGCTACTGGTCATACTTTCAGTTTCAAGCTCCCCCCACTGTAACTGGCTAAGGACTAATCACCTAGCAATGATATGGTCACTATGGACATGGATCAAAGTAACCACAAACAATTCTTACCAAATAGTAAATGATAATTTTCCCCTGCTGTTCAATAACTTCTGGTGTGAAGATATAGTGCACCTGGATCTCTGCAGAGGAGCCACAACTTAACGTCTCCAACTTGGGCTCAATTTTGAGGAAGCTCTTACTGGGGGAGTAAAACCGACTTATTCTACGCATGGCATGCTCATGTGAAGGCGTGATCCAGTCACTGACATAACAGTTCAGTTCAGGTTTATATTCAGCCTGATAAAGAAGAATAAAAAATTCACAGCTGACTAAAACCAGGTAACAAGTCACATGAATATCCATGGGTAAACTCTGGCTACATTCTGTATCTCTCATTCTTAGATGAAGGTAAAGAAAAAGATACATAGAAAAACATGCACAGGAGACAGAGAAGGGAGGTGACCTGCCAAAAAATCTTGCTTAATCTCCTTTTTGGAAGAAAGGCTGATGACTTATGTAAACGTATTTCCTCTGCTGAACAAAAAAGACAGAGACAGGCCCTTGCCCTGTCTCTGTCACTCACTCGGATTTCCAGGGAGGCTTCTGTGAACGTAGTAGTATCAATGGAAAACCAGGATAGTCCCTGCTCATCTGTAGTGTAATTGCCTTTGTATATGTCTCCATTCACAGAAATCCTGATGGTTTCATTGGCAATGGGAACATCATTACCATCTACCAGCTTCACCTAGTAAAGCAAAAGCAAACTTCAGGTTTTAAGCTAGAAACAGAAATAATTCCTAAGTTCTAAAAACCCCTCCCCCTCTTCTTCTTTGCCAGGCTAGATGTTTCTTATGGAGAAGAACAAAATAGAAGAATGTGGAAATGCACATGGTGAGTCCTAAGTTGTTTGAGATAGCAGATCTTCATCAGCAAACAATCTAATCATCAATCAAACAATCAATCATCCCATGGAACTCATTTATTAGCACCTTGATTTTCTATGCCAGTTTGAATTGTTTCGTTCAGCCTCTTTGATGACATCCACCACATATCACCTGCCTCTTAGTCCAGGAATTCTGAGTTCAGTTAGGCTTGTGCCTTGCCAAAGCATTAGACTAACCTGCATCATGGTTAGATCTACACTCAGCTCTTTCTCCTGCTGTTCCCATCATGTTGATAAGACTTCCTTGTTTGAGCTCAGCTCTGACTTATTGCCTTATATTGCCTGGTGACCATTAGACCGTTGGTGGAACTTGAAACTGTTAACATCCCTGCTCTGCTTTGCTCCTGGATAACTTTTCCTTGTGGAATGGCCCATGCTTACTGCTCCCTGATGTTATCCTTGTATGACAGAACAACAGACTGTCTATTCTTTACTGTGATGACAGGAGGGAGGTTCAGGGACAAGTGTTTCTTAGGTACACCGGCAGACAATAATTTGGCTGCCTTTGTGGAGGTTATGTCATCTGCACACACTGCTATTCCAATTGATGAAATTACACACCAGTGTCATGGTTTTATGATTTTTGATTGGTTTTTTTAATGGTTTTTATGATTTTTATCAGTATTCCACGTTATAACATAATGTAGAGAACTGGGAGTTAAAGACTCCAGTTCCATGGACTGCCAACTTTTTGAGTATCTGGTTTTCAGAAGAGAAGAAGAACTACATACCCCAGAAGATTTTTTTGCTTCTGTTTTCTGTTCAGAGAGATAGATAAAACTGTTCACAAGACACAGGACATTACTTTTTCCCTTTCTGCTCATCTCTGCGTGTGTGCTCCCTAGCTGTCTCACCTTCAGCATTAGAATAAGACCTTTGGTTTTTGGATACTCTCTCATTTTATTTGATTTATTAGCTTCAATTCCAATTGTGCTGTGTTATTGTTATCTTGAGTTCCAATATCATATTTAGTAAATTAACTTTCCTCCTCAGATCATTGCTACTGTTTTGTTTTTAGGTCCATCTCCCTACCCTTTCCTTTTCCCCCTTTCCCAGGCAGGTCTGTGGGTCCCCCCACCCCATTAGTCATGGAACTGGGCTGAACCAGCCTGTAAACCGTTGACAAACAGTGAGTTTGCTGTGATATTACACTTTCCAAGTTCTCAGAAGTTACCCACCCAGCCAAAGAGTGGGATCCCTGGTCTGTAATGAGAGTCCAACAGGTCAAAGCTGACTTTGCTCATTATGGATGTGATTTCACAAGAGCCTGTTCCAGTCACAACTATTCCTGAGAGAGAGCACAGTAAAGAGCGGTTATTAATGAACTTTAACATTTTTAGACATGCCATTCTACCTTCCTCATCTTTGCCAAGCTCACCTCTTGTAGCCTACAGTTAGTTTCCCACATACATGGTGATACATACCTGTACCATCTTCTGTGATCTTGCCTTGCACCTCAATGCTCATCTTATATCCCCTGCGCCGGAGTTGAAATATCTTAGTTCTTACTACAGCAGAAACACACCCGTGAACATCTGCCTAAGTAAGGATTTGAAGAGAAAATAGAAACAACTTGGGTGCCTTGTAGAACAGAAACTCTCAATGCAACATGCTTAATTTGTGTTCACGTAACCTCAGATTTATGTTCTTAATACTTAGTTCTCCAGCCATGCAGAGCTTTCCTTATTAACTCCTTTCCTTACTAACTCCAAAACAAAACTCAGTTTTGTTTGTCTTCCTGCTTCTTTCATTGTCTTACTCTCCTCATTTTTTTACTTTTTCCCTTCTGCATTTGACCCATATATATATTGCCTTCTTGTCTTCTCATTTGCTATGCTTTTGCTCCCTGCCAATCTTTCCCACAGTTATGACATTCTGTCAAAGGTTCTTTCCTAGTTTGGTGATAAATACCAGACACCTCACAGCTGCTAGTTAGTTACTAATTTCACTGGGGTCAGTATTTCAGCTGTGGCGTTTTCTTCATTTCTGTTTCCAGTTTAATGACTGCTCTCTGAAGAACGTCTTCCTCTGAGAACATCTGCTTTTTTCCTGAACAGTTATCACTGATGTCCTACCATCTACCAACAGTCACAGTTTTGCCCTCTTAATTTAAGCAATACTGCCCATTACTCATAAGAAGGACTCCTACATTTTAATCTTGTAGCTCACCTGCCTGGTGAATTCTTCACATACAGCTTCTCCTTCTTTTCTATAACAATGTGAAGCAGAATGGGAAAATTTCCGGCACACTTGGACACTCACCATACCAGGGACTGGTTTTCCATAGGTGTAACTATAATCGCAAAGTGTTAAACAATATACTAGATGATGAGATAAGCAGTCAGAGTCACATTCAGACATACATCCTTAAGAATTGTGTATTACTTAGTAGTATTTCTTCTTAAAGCCCAATCTGATACTCTGATCATTCTAGTGATCATGTTTCCATCATTATAGTGGTGAGATTCTTACATTAGAGTCTGATCTAGGTGGGAGGTCTCCATAGCAATGCAGAAAAATATTGCATAATATGATGTCAGATATTGCATAATATTATGTCAGTTGGGAGTATCTTTGTATCACAAAGAGTCAAGGGTTCAGGTGAACAGGGGCTCAAGCAGAACAATGTATAAGTTACAGACTACAATGCTGGTTCTAAACAACCTGCTTAAGTGATGTCAGATCTGACATCCCCAAGTACTGGAAGGTTCAGGAGTGGTAAAGATCTAACTGATGAGATGTAAAGACAGAAAGAGAAAACGTAGAATAAACGAAGAGAGAACTGCTGATTGGTTTGACATCATCCTGTAAGGAATTGTTAAGGTCAAGTAGCAGCCTCAGAACATACAGGGTGGAACAAGCCTGCCTGCATGAGATCTCTTTTAAAAGTTCTTTTTTTTTTTATGTGATTTTTGTTGTTGTTGTTTAGTTCATAGTGGAAAGGAGAACTGAAGGATGCTTGAGAGAGATTTACTCCAGCTCTGTGACTCACAGACCACAGACGGACACTGGAAGCTCCTTGTCCTCAATTGTGATCATCTTAGGCAGCTTCACCAGGACCTCATACTTGGGCAGCACTGGATAGGAGACAGAAAATCTAATGTGAGAAGAGTGAAAAGCTGTATACTGCACAGAAACCCAAACAGGGAGCCAGAATCAGAATTTTTTCCTAAAAAATCCCAAATCCCAAGGAGGCCAAAGTAAAAGGTATTTCGTCAGCCCTGCTTGCAGCCCATATCCCCTTTCCTTACCATATTCCTCTACGGAGAAGGAGTGCTCCACGTGGGCAATGAAGTTCTTTTGCACGACTATTTTGTAGGAGCCTTGGATGGGGTCAGAGGTGAGAGGGAAGGAGAGCTGTGTAAGGCCAGTCTCAAGTTCTACCCCTTGCCATTGATAAACACGGTTTCTCTGGGGATCCTGCAGATGAGAATAACTCCATGTTACGAGTAAGTTACGTACACAGTCAGGGCAGTTTGGTGAAGGCTGCTCCCAAGAACAAAGCATTGGAGTGTCCAGGAAATACACATCCAAGCTGGGAAATGCCTAACCTTAAATAATAATCTATGAAGAGCTGTGACTTCAGGATCTCTTACCTGCCAATTCTGCATAACTAGCATGCAATAAAGCACATTGTTTTTAACCACAGATGTCCTGTGCTGTCTCCTCCTCATAAACATGTGCATGCTTACAAAGGACGAGGCCAGGAAGTTGGAAAAGAAAGACTAACAAGGTAGCAAGGCATAAAGATGGACAGCAGGAATTAATTGAGCATGGGGAGAAAGAAAATTTTTGGACTGACTCCTTCACTTGCTGTACAGTCTGTAACAGGAATTTTTTTGTGCTTGGGATAGAGCATGCTTGAGAAGTAGCGCATAGTATGCTGAGGAATTAGATACATGATTTACCTGAGAAACTAAACAAGTCTACATATATAAGAGTCCAAATGTTGCCATAGGGTGAGGATGCAGGGGAAGGAGCACAGAGTACACCAGAATACAGTAAGCACATCCAACATATGTGCATCCAGCTGAGACCTCTCCTTTTTTCTGGCTATTCCTTATGCTGGACCAGACATCACTACAGTAGTTGAGTATTGCTCACTATGTACTGACTGTCAATAAGTTGTGCTCCAAAATCATCAGGTCAGCCTCAAATTTCTCATAGAAGTCACCAAACTAATTGCCCTTTACCTCAGCAACATGGTTGTTTACAGCCTTTCATTTTCTGCTTGCTCTATGTGTTGTATGTTGGTTGTCACCAAAAGCCTATTTTTTATATGTAGCTCAAGATAAATAATTTCTGATGCATATATTCACTATTCTGAGGTTATATTCCTATGCTCAGGGAAAATGTGATGTGAATGTCATCTTAGCCAGAGGCCACCACTCAGAAACCAGAAGAGTTTGTCCCCATGAAGCACTCTCTGAGTTTGGGGAAGACAAGGGCCATAAAGCATCCTGTGGTTCTGATGAAATCTTATCTGTCATAACTCTTAAACCATGGTGAAAATATCACCACTTGTTTTAAAGAACACCACAGGGCCTCATTAAAGGAGAAATCTAAATTTTTTTTTACAACTGGGCTTGTAATCTCGTTGCCATTTCTTTGATGCATTTATGGAGAATGCATTTATGGTAGCCAGCTTGTTTCTCCTGGGAAGCTTTTTTTTTTTTGTTTTTCTTTTAAATGAAGCAATGGGTCAAATTAACAGGTTAGAAATAGGTTCACACTAATACCTGCCTTTGTGGCTGACTATGATTGCTTAGCAGTGTTAAGGGTGAAAGGATGAACATTTGTTTCTTTGGCACTTAGCAGTGCTAACTTAGCACCTTAAGTTGCCTCCTTCCTTCATTCCTGCCACCCTTTCCTTTGGGCCAGTCCAAATTTCATGCAAGTATGAAGTAAACTGCACTAGTGGATCTGATTTAATACATTAAAAACAAACAAAAAATAACAACAACAACAGCAACAACAACAAAAACAGCAACAAAGCAAAACAACAGCAACAACAACAACAACAACAAAATCCTAGAAAAAAAAAAAACAAATGGGTGAATTTGCTATTAGGTGAGTTTCCTATTCTATAAGAATGCCTCATTGGAGTATGTGAAAGCCAGAGAGCAGTACTACACTGAGAAGCTGCAGCAAAAAAGGGAGAGGTGATGGTGGGAGTGGGGGATGGTGGGACTGGCCTTTGTAAACTGTTGTAAATGCCACTGACAAACACTGTGCCTCACAGGCTGGAGCTGAAAGCCCAGCGTGGCCTTCTTAGTATTTTCAAACTAAAGCTTTTAATGATACTGATACAAAAACGGTTACAAAATTACTGATGGCAGAGGATAGGCTTTCCTTCTTGTTCATTTCATGAAATTCCTGTAGTCAGTCAAGTGTCATCAAATTAAAAGGAAAAAGACCTGTTCTTTCGGGGCTCCAAACTCACAAGAAGGACTTAGCAGAAGGTACTTCTGAGGTATTTTCCTCTATCTGATACCCCACACCCCAATTGTCTCTTACCCTTCCTTTTCTCTTGCTATTAACATGCTGCCAGTTGCCCACCAGCTCTGCAACTCTGTTCTGGTAGTTGCTGAGGGGAAGAGAGAGTGATAGCACTCCGGCAAGAGGATAGAAAAGAGGAAAATTGTGTCCCAGCCTCTGTCTCCTCTGGTCTGGCAACACTTCCAGCTTCAGAGAGGCAGATCAGAATGAAGACATCAACCCTAAGCTGCAAGGAGTACTACTAGAACTGACTATGTAGGATCCATGATCACACAGACCAAGCTGAGATTTGTGCATACTAATTTCATCATTCTTTGTGTTGCTATCACGACTTAGGACATATCACCAGGTCCTTCCCATCAATTTTCCGTTGGATGATGTCCCACATGATAACTGCAAAGTGATTTACTCAGCTGAAATAGTGGATATAGTGAGTACTTAATCGATTCATTGTCAGAATCATCCTTCCTATTAACTTTTGCCTGTCACTGAAGTTTCACTGTTAAAACAAAAAACAAGAAAAAATAAAACAACCAAACAAAAAACAGGCTTGCTTGGGAAGACAGAGGAAAATGTTTACTCACATAATTTTATTTCTTTACTTTTATTTATTAAATGTATTTATATGGTTTTGGACATATTTTGCAGACAGATAATCCTAGATCTGCTTGGGAAGAGGAACAAGACATTCATGTGCTCTAGCCGTACTTCATAGCATGGCATGTACTCATCAAGTATTTTGGTCCGACAGTACAGAATCCTCAATCAGAGAATCAATGTCAGAACTTATTCAGATGCCATTATCAATGTTAGAACTTATTTAGGTATTCAGTCTTCCTTTACACACCATCTGTTTTCACTTGCACCTCAGCATGAAAACACCACTGCTGGGTAATAATACTGAGCGCTCACATTCTGCTGAAATAATAATCATGCAGTTATGTACTTACCTGAACATAGACGATTGGAAACTATGGGGAAGGAACAAAGGAAAATCAGAGTTAGAAAGGAGAATCACATGCGGATTAAAGCAATTTTCAGTTTTGAACTGAAAGACAGAAAACCAACATGCTGAGAAACCCTCTGAGCCATTTTCTGTATTTGCACTGCATGCTCAGTTTTTTATAAATAGTACTTTAGAGCTCCATCTTGTTGTCTTACCACGGTTTGAAAACATGATGAAGAATTCTCAAATAACTTGTCTGCATGAGGTTTGATTAACAAATAAACTAAAAGGTGAACCTATAAGAGTGATCAGTTTCTTCAAACCAAATCCTTTTCATCCTTCTCTCTCGGTCTCTAAGCATGTGGTGGCACTTATTGCTGAAAGTATCTGTTACTTTCAATGCAAACTTGTCTCACATTTTTTCTCTGATGAAATCTCTGTCTATGGGCTTATTCCTTTGAAAGTAGTACGTTCCTTTGAAAAATCAGGTTCTAAATATCTATATCCCTTTGAAATAAAAGGAGCAGTTATTAGTGGAAACAGATGGACTGTGTCCCAGACAGAATATGACCTATGGGATGGGTCAATGGTATTGTGAGAAAGGATCATTTGCTGTAAAGGTTCTCTTCAGTTTTTTTGGATGTGGATAATAAAGGTGTTAAACGGGAATTAAGCCTCTTGGTTAAAAACAAGGAGTTATGTGCATACCTTCTCATTCAGTGGGTGGAAGTCTTTATCCAGAGAAACAATCCGAAACAGAACTGAGAAGTGTAATGAAAAAGAAGGAAATTTTGTTGTTAAGATTTATAACAATTACCACCAAATATCAAAGTTTCAATAATTTTTAACTCAGATTAATTCCACTGATCAACAGACTCCAAAATGAGATCCTTAAGTCATGGTAGTGATTTTTTTTACACTCATTTTCTTACTGATGGTGAAAGATGAACAAATTTAGAGGGAGAATCAGATCTTGGCTGAAATGAGTTATCTGTGGGAAGTGCTTGTTCTCCCCTGTTGGTTCAGATGCAGCCAAGGGAGACAACCCAGATTTGTGCTTATAATTGAGATGGAGGAATGTGAATCTGTGCCTCCATCTGGCTGAGATATTGTGCCCAGAGGGCAGAGAATACAAACAACAATGGTACCACATGCCTTAGATCTCAGCTGACAGAAGTAAGATTTTCTTTTGGCTCTAAATCCCCCCCCAAAAGAGCTTTGAAAACTTCTTTAATAAAAATATTGTCTGGGGAATTAAGTCCAGAAGATTTTCTGCTTAACACAGCACCAGAGTTAACACCAACCCAATTCTCTGTACCTGTCTGTCCAGGCTTGTAGATGGGTTTGTCTGTCTGGACAAAGACCAAACTCTCAGAATTCTTGACCAGCACTGACTTGCGGCTTCTGAACTGCAGCGTCTCTCCCTTCACCGTCACAGTGAGAAGTGCCACTGATGTGCTGTTGGATTTTGAAAGCTGAGAGAAAAATGAAGATCATAACTGCTTTACTGATTCACCTCACTGCACTCAGCCTTTGCAGGACAGAGTCTCTGTAGAGACATGAAAGACACGAGGTCGGAAACAACGGTAAAGCATGATTTTGTGATGTGAACTGGGAGGGCTGGTTGCGGGAGGTGATTCACCCCTCTACTTCTTTGTAGTGAGACCCATCTGTGGTAATGATTTCAGCCCTGGGGTCCTCAGCTTAAAAACCATGCCTCTATTGGAGTGATAATCAGAAGGCTGGAGATCTCTCCTATGAAGACAGGCTGAGGCAGTTGAAGTTGTTCAGTTTAAAGAACGAAATGCTCTGAGGAGACCTTACAGCAGTCTTCCAGCACCTAAAACAGGCCTAGAGGAAAGCTGAGGACAGAGTCTTCATCAGGGAGTGTAGAGAAAGGGGAATGATTTTAAACGAAGAGGGTAAATTTAGATAAGATGTTAAGAGCAAATTCTTCACTATGAGGGTGATGAGGCACTGGAACATATCTATCAAGGAAGCTTGGGTGGATGCCCTATCCCTGGAAATGTTCAAGACCAGGTTGTATGAAGCTTTGGGCAACCTGATCTGTTGGAAGAATGATTCAGGTTGGAAAAGACCTTAAGGATCATCAAGTCCAACCACAACCTAACCATACTACCCTAACTCTAACAACACTCCACTAAATCATGACCCTTGGCACCACATCCGAACAGTTTTTAAACACATTCAGGGATGGTGACTCAACCACCTCCATGGGGGGCCTATTCCAGTGCTTAACAAGCCTTTCTGTAAAGAAGTGTTTCCTAATATCCAACCTAAACCTACCCTCGCACAACTTCAGGCCATTTCCCCTCGTCCTGTCACTTGTCACCAGTGAGAAGAGATCAACCCAGACTAAACAGCCCCAGTTCCTCCAGTCTCTCCTTCTAGAACATATTCTCCAAGCCTTTCGCAAGACTTGTTGCCCTTCTTTGGACCTGCTCCAGCACCTCACTGTCCTTTCTGTGCTCAAAACTGAACACAGTACTCGAGGTGAGGCCTCACCAGTGCTGAGTACATGGGCAGGATTACTTCCCTAGTCCTGCTCACCACACCATTCCTGGCATAAGCCAGGATGCCACTGGCCTTCTTGGCACAATGCTGGCTCATATTCAGCCTACTGTCCATCAGTACACCAAAGTCCCTTTGCATCAGGCAGCTTTCCAGCCACTCCCCCCCAAGCCTGTAGGGTTACCTGGGATTGTTGTGACCAAAATTCAGGACCCGACACTTGGTCTTATTGAAACTCATACATGCAGTTTACCTTCGCCCATTGATCCAGTCTGTCCAGGTCCCTCTGTTGTGTCTTTTTCCCCTGTGCTGGCAGATCAACAGTCCCTCCCAGCTTGGTGTCGTCTGCAAACTTACTGAGGGTGCACTCAATCCCCTCATCAAGATCATTAACAAAGATATTAAATAGAAGTGGCCCCAGTACCAAGCCCTGGGGGACAGCACTTGTGACTGGATGCCAACTGGATTTAACTCCATTGACCGCAACTTTTTGGGCACAGCCATCCAGCCAGTGTTTCACCTAGTGGAGTGCACGTCCATCCAAATTGTGGGCAGCCAGTTTCTCCACAAGGATGTTGTGGAGGACAGTGTCAAAGGCCTTACTGAAGTCCGGGTAAACCACATCAACAGCCTTACTTTCATCCACTAAGCAGGTCATCCTGATGCAGAACAAAATCAGGTTTGTCAAACAGGATCTACCACTCACGAACCCATGCTGACTGGGCCTGATCTCCTGGTTGACTTTTAATTGGTCCAAGACGGCTCCTGAGATTATCCATTTCATAACCGCTCCTGGAACCAAGGTGAGACTGATAGGTCTATAGCTACCAGGATCATCTTTCCAGCCCTTTTTGAAGATGGACGTCAAGTTTGTCGGTCTCCAGTCCACCACGACATTCCATTAGCCAGGATTGTCGAAGGATGATGGAGAGTGGTTTGGCAACCACATCCGCCAACTCCCTCAGCACTCCAGGGTGCAGTCTATCTGGTCCCATGGACCTGTGAACATCCAGCTTTCAGAGCAGGTCCAAAACTATTTCATTGTAGATAATGCAGGGCCAATTCTGTTCCCCATTCCTACCTGCCAGCACAAGGTGCTTTGTGCTCAGTGAGTAACAAGTCCTGCTATTAAAGACTGAGGCAAAAAAGGCATTAAGTACCTCAGCCTTGTCCTGATCCTTGGTCACTGCTTTGCGCTTGGCATCCAACAAGGGATAGAGATTCTCCCAAGCCCTCCTCTTGCTGTTGATGCATTTATTAAAATATTTACTGTTGTCCTTTACCATAGCGGCCAAGTTCAGTTCTAGTTGGGCTATGGCTTTTCAAATTTTCTCCCTGCACAGCTTCACTATATACTTGTAATCATCATAAGTTGCTTGCCTACTCTTCCAAAGACTGTAAACTTTCCCTTTGTTCTTGAGTTCCAGTCGAAGGTCTCTGTTCATCCAGCCCAGGCTCACTGCCCGTTGGCTTGTCTTGACGTGGGGATGGTCAGCTCCTACACCTTTAAAATAACTTCCTCAAAGCATTCCCAGCCTTACTGGGCTCCCACGCCCTCCAAAGCTGCCTTCCAAGGGACCCTCTCCACTATGGTCCTAAAGGGGCTAAAGTCTGCCCCCTGGAAGCCCAAGGTGGCAGTTCTGCTGACTCTCCTCCATGGTTCAACAAGGATCAAAAAAATCTATAATTTCTTGATCACTCTAACTCAGATAGCCTCCAACCTTTACATCCCCCACAAGACCTCTGTTAAAAAACGACAGGTCCAGGATGCCTCTGCCCATGACAATGTGGTTGGAACTTAGATGATCTCTTGCATGGTCCCTTCCAGTACAATCCAGCACAACCCAACCTAACCCAATCCAACCCAACTCATTCTATGATTCCTTCAGAAATTAGTAAGATGACTGATATTCTCCATTTCCTTGCATTTTCTCCAAGGTTCTTCCGCTTCTCCTTCCAAAGCTGTTAGCCTCTCAATACCTTCACTTACAAACTTTCCTCTTTGAAGTACTGAAACTGATCTTGCACCATCCATCCTATGATTCATTAAAATGGAAATCATCTAAAATTCATTATTTGGGATTGGTACCACTTTCATACATTACTCACTGACTAGCCTTCTTCAAGAAACATAAATAAGCCCCAGAAAGAGATAAGATAACATCATGGACTTCAGTTTAATTTTCCACATCCCCGTCTTCTATGGTTTTCATTCCAGTTCATTCTTTTTCCTCTGAGTCTTGAGCAGATCAAGGTGAGATGGGCTAAGTTCTACTTTAAAGTCAAAGTTTGAAGATGAAACATTGCCTAAGTCCTGCATGCACAGTCAGTTTTCTACATCAAATTCTTTTGTTGTTGTTGTTTGGCTCAGCTTAAAAACTCTGATTGCAACACCTTGTTTCTCATCTTTGTTTAGTTCCACTGCATTTTAGCAATAAACACAGAAGATATGTTCACAGAGATTAGATTACTCACAGAGTAAGGGATGCAGGTAAACAAATCTTTCTCCGACACCACATCATCAATCAAGCTCCTGTTTTCCCCTTGATACTGAATTGTAGCATGCAGTGTTACAGACTCATTCAAGTGAGTCAGCTGAACACAGACTTTTTCAGGAGAATCAGTATGTATCAGAAAGGGCAGAAGCACCATGTACTGCCTGGAAAAGGAACAAAGCAAGAATCAGAACTGTGAAACAGTATTAAGAAAACAGTGGAAGTTTTCTAAAATAAAAGGAAATTAGCAAACCAGCAAGTCTTATCCACTACTATTCCTGTGAATTCAGTGCATAAACATGAGTAATACATCTTACTTTGGGTTTATACGTGTTAAGCCACCTTACTAATTTGCCTAAAAACAGGAAAATGCTTCACAGTAGGGAACAATTTCGATGCCAATAATAGATACTCCTTTATAAAGGCTGCTTTGTTCAGCTTCACAATAGAGAGTAAAGATGGCATGAAAAGTTTCAGGCTGTTACTTTTTTTATTATTTTTTTTTATTCCACAGTCCCATGAGACTCAAAAGCATTAGCTAAAAAATGTTGGAAATTCATCAGTTGTAGGGTTGAAAAAATTCCAGCGTCTGTGGCTGCTCCTTTTTTTGCCTGTCCAGCTTTCCAAATTCTCCTCATGCTGAGCAAAAATGTGAGTGCTGCAGTTCATGACTTTATTAAGATGAGCACACAGAGCATTTCAGAGGACAGTGCTTTGTCACAACAGAAGTATACCTGTGTCTTCAAAGAACTTCTGGCAAAAGTTCTCAGAGAAAACATTAGTTGGCATTCAGTAAAAGGGATAATTTCACTAATTTTCATTAATAAATCCAATTATTAAATCTGATGCAGATTAATTGATTAAAAAGTAGAACATAAAGAGTAAGAAATAATAGTCTGTTTATACAGCAGAAGGTGGTCACCAGTAAAAATCTCAAGGATCTGTGCAGAGTCCCTGTTGCTCAGTCTATTGCTGAATAATCTGTAAGGTACTGACTAGTGTACCTTTGAAAACTTTGTACTGTGGGTTTGTGTAGAAAATAATGGCAAATGAACCATTCATACAGGGAAAATAATGAATTAAGGAATAAAATATCACCCCCAACAGCGTACACATAGCTAAATTTGCTATTCCCACTCAGAGATTAGCACTGCCAAGAACTCTTGTAAAATCTTCAGAGATAAGTGACAAATGGACGATAAGGAACTATTCTTAACTCTCTTTTCTTAAATAAAGGAATAAAGAACAATTCAGAACACAGTTTGGCTATTGTATAACTAAAGGTACGTTGTCATATTCCCATTTAAAATAAAAAAAAAAGGATTTAGAAAAAAATTCATTGAAAGATGTCAGATAATCTGAAATCTGGAAGATTAACATTCTTTAGCACAGAAAAAAAGGTGACATTGTTCATCACTGAAATATCAAATTAAATCAAGGAACCTAGTGGCATCAGGTACTATAAAGCTCAAAAGATTAATTTGGTATGACTAGCTTGTGGCTCTTGAGCCTTCTCGTACTCTCAAGCAATCCGAGAACAGCAAATAAATATACTCAGGCTGCAACACGTGATAAACAGCAGCTGAATATCCTTCCCTGGGTAAAGAACAAATGGAGCTAACAGGTACAACTGAGTTTGATAACTGGAGCCCTGCTTGCATGTCCAGTGAGGTGCAGCCCATTAAAAATTACCCAGGTGCTTTCTCCATCTCTTTCTTTCACAGCCTTCTCACCACAGCTTCACCCTGTGCTTCCTCTAATCTCTTTTCCCCTGCTTCCTGTCAGTGGCACTGGCAATCTGCATGCAGTGTCCAGTCTACTGAGGGGACAGCTTGACCTACTTCATAGGGAATTTTGGCTTCATTCCTGTTCACTGTTTCATGGAAATTTTGGCTAATGTGCCGAATGCTCCCCTAAACACACTGTCTTCACTGTCACTGGAGCAAGTTTATGAAATTCACTGCTTATAAACCTCCCTTCAGCTGTTTTGGACATGCTGGTGGAAATGTATGGATGAATTAAAATACTACAAAATCCTTAAATAGCTTAAGTGTCCAAGTCCGTGTGTAGATATTCCAGAACAGAATGCTTCTAGGCTACCAGCAGAGACATCATCAGCCTCAGCAGCAGAAGCAGCAGCTCAGTATTCTGAAAACAGATGCAGTGACTCCATCAGAAGCAGGCAACAAGAAGGGATAGGAGACCTCAGAGTAAGGGATTGACTAAAAAATGCTGAGTTTATCTATATAGAGAAGGCAGTATAAGTAATAAAAGCTTAAAATGCATAAACTCTCAGCTATTTCCAAGATCAGACTTTCAACAAAAGAAACAAATGAATTTAATTAGCTCTATAAGTCCCAATTCACATCTATCAATTCTAATACCATCACCAGCTAGCATTTTTGACTACATCCACTATATTATCAAGCATAAGAAGTTCATTGTAAAATAGTTTACATGCACAACCACATACTAGAATAGGCGAACAATGCCTCCACTTGAATTCTTCCAGAAGGAAGCCAGAGAAGAAAAAAAATCCCACTGTTAGTGTATAACAGCATGGTAAATTTTTTAGTTGAAAAAACCTCTGGATGTCTTAAGATCAACTTCTCTCTTGGAAAATGAATGTTACATAGACCTTCACAGAAGGAGTTTCCACTATATCTCTGGGAGAGTCATTTCAATGCTGCATTAATGTGATAAGTTTTTTTCCAGTATCCAATCTGAAACTTATTTGCCTTTCTTTTGCAGCTGGCTGCACCTGAAGCAGAAAGAACAGCAAATGTTGCTGTTCAAAGAAGCTGTCTCCTCAGGCAAAATGTACCTTAGTTGGAAGCTTCATTTTGTTTTGACTTGGAAGACTTCACACCTCTCCTTATCCCATCTCTCGCAACCTTTCCTTCTTCTCTCCTCCCAAAATGGTGCTCAGGTAAGGGAAAAAGAGCAACATGTTGCTCATGGGAGGACTGAACAGTATGGATCCATGCCTTTTCTACCTGATCCCAGGCAGAAGTAACAAGAGATTACTGTGGGGAGATCAGAGAGCTCTATATGACCCCAGAAAGACTTGGCTGGCTGATCATCTCTAGAACCAGTGAAATAGAGAAGGTGAATGAGACACTGATGGCACAGTATGAGTCAAAAGTCAAAACTAATTTTAGCCTGATACCACTTCACCTCTGAGCACACAGTAAGCAAAGCAGTAAACACTGCACATTATGCTAGATCTACCACTGCTTGTGATCATGAAATCTCTAGCAGGCATCATGAGACCAGATTCAGAACCACACCTCCCCATTCTCTTTTCAAACTGGTTTATCCCCTTGCTCCTATTTCTCACAGCAGAAAACTGTGCTTTTGCGAGCACAGCAATAAGCACAATGATAGCAGCAAGGTCTGAAGAATGAGATTGCTTTGCCTGGACCTGGGACTGTGGAATAAGCCTCTCAGTAGGTGAGCTCATGATGGGCATGCTCAGGTATACCTTCTGCTTGGGGCCCTAAGCAGGGTGGACATAGCAGCCATGCTGCTTGTCTGCAGAGCACTGGGGTGGACACACCAGGGAGAGTGCCAGCGCCTGGCTCAATGGTGGTGAAAGAGAATCTAGGTCACAGATTCTCTTTGAGAACAAGCATGTCTGATGCTGCCAAGGGAAACAAACTATTTTGAAAGAAACACAAGAAAGGGAATAAATCTGTTAGAAAAAAAAAACAAAACTAAACAAAAACAAAAACCAAAAAACAGGAACAGGGAACAATGACTCAGTGATCAAAACAAGGATACTACAAGAAAGGTAAGTACATGCATGTTCACAAAAGCTGAGCCACCTGAAGATTTCTAGTAATGCATTTAGGCAGAGGTGTTGTGATGATACAGTGCTGGACTAGCTGAAGGCTGTAGCAAGAAAATGGAACACTGGCAGAGTTTTTCAGGAGAGTCAGCGATGGGCTAATAATGGGAAGCAGGGCAGAAGTGGAAGAAATTGTCACAACTGTTTGAAGAATGAGAGAAAGAAAGAAAAGTGACTGCAAAAAGAAACACTGTGACCTCCCTCCCTCCCTCCCTCTTCCATGTGTGTAGCTTACGGTTCTGCAGTGTGAGAGATATTTCCAGGGAAGAGGAAGAAAAGGAGAAAGATAACAGGCTTGTTGAAGAGCCAGTCCTTCCTCATCATGCTCAGCAGGACGCAGTGACTCAAGCAAACAACCAGACTGGTCTGGCACTGCTGTTTTCCTGCACTCTGTATTTCCTCTCCACTCTCTGCTGGGTCAGCCTCTTTATAACCGTTCTCTGTAAACAGCCCATGGGCTGGAGGAGATAAGGGCTGGGGGCCAGGGCACATGCAGAAATGTGAGAGCTGCAAGGAGAAGCTGAAACAGGGGTACAGTATTTGGCTAGAGACATTCAAAGTGGGGGAAGGGCATTTATTGGAGAGTATTTGAATTGGAAAGTTTTGAACCACTCATATTCAGATTTCTTCAATCCATCAGGAATCCGGTCTTGGGGAAATTAACTGCATTCAATACAATGTTACTTCCTGAGGGCAGCATGCAGTTCCAGAATTCTAATGTGGGATAATGTCATATGTTGCAAAACACAGATTTATAGGTATGTTAGGAACAAAAGGAAACCCTCAGAAAAAGACAATGCATGTATTATGTTAACATTATAGTAGTAGTTTGCTGAAAAAATCACCTAACAGGACTGCTATAGATTACACAATTAACCTGTTTAATGAAATGAGAGGGTGTCTGGGTGTGGAAGTAAGTTCTTTGAACGTACTTAAAGATCAGTCAGTTCTACTGGGACACATCCTTGCCTCCCCATCATGGTCATCATCTTCCAGCATTCTGTGTTACCTGCTGTGGAACCATCATCTGGTCAAGGGTGGAAACATTCCAGGTGTTCCAGGTGTTCTCCTCTTACACTTAGCCAGATTCAGAGCTGTGCTGCAGGGAGTTGCATCCATAACAAAAGTCTCCCAGAAACAGCACTGCTCCCTTAACTCATTCGTATGTGGATCTTTGGTTGCAGCACTGTTACCATAAAATGGTCGATCAAAAACATCTCTAAGACATAAATTGGAGTGTTGGAAGGTAGCCATTCTTTAGTATCAGTGCTGGATGTATTTAAACCTATTTAAATACAAGGACACAGAGGTTTCCAATTACCTAAAAGAACTGCAAAGTTTTCCACTAAGAAACAAGCTGCAGCTTGTATCAGCAGCTTATGAAGAAGTTCTATTTAGTAAGAAAAGAGTTTGCTAAGTTCCTGCTTGTTGCTAAAATGAAATATTCAGCCCAATCTTGCAGAACTCCCTGAGTAGACTGAGTACATTGGATATTTGCAGCATTCCACAGAAGACTACAAAACTGTAGCTGTGGGGCTTCAGTTTCTCATACAGTGTCTGCGCAGTGAAAGGATTGGGTAGTGCTCTTTTTAGAGATTTATAACCCCTGAGTTTTGTTGTGCACGAGTGATCCAGGAGAGAAAATACTTTAGCACAAATCACATTGAATGTGATTACATGGAGCTACATTATTGGCAGGGATTCTGTGATCTTTGCAGAGGGGCTTATAAGATCATAACAGCATAGGCATCCCTTTGTAAAAGAGTGAATGTTAAGACTGAGTATTAATTATGTAGTGTCTTGATTCTGATGTAGTAATCAGAAAACTACAGAGAAGAGCAGTGCAAAGGACCAGCAGAAATGTCTGAGGATGGAAGGAAGTTTGAGAATGGTGAAGCCAAGAACAATTGCAAAGTAATCTGACTCACCAGAGAGCTACATCAAGCAGGTATTCCCCTTATTACAGCTCTGAGTGCATGGGGAAATCACTACACTGAACATGCACACCAAAGAAATGACAACATATTTAAAAGGCATAAATATATGTATTCATTACGTTTCAAGAAAACAGGCTGAGTTCTGAGAAATAATTAACATACTATTCCGCCCTCCTGAGCATGTGCTCTAAATACATGGTGAAAGGCTGACAGCCATGGGATTGGTCAACTAGTAATCATCTTCACTGTGAATTTCCAACCTTTTAAAGGGGGGTAGCCCAAACCAGTTCCCACTGATGTTACATTGAGCTGAGGCATCTATTTTGTCATCTTATCCTCAGGAACAGAACTGATTGTATCTTGACTTCACAATTTCCACAGCCTCAGCATTTTGTTCTGGAGCTTACACTTACGCAAGCCTCCTCTCCTTCAGCTTATATCCACTCAAGTTATGTGGAAGGCTGTTCTCACAATATAGAAAAGCTGTTCTCATGATCCAGTGGTGTTAAAAAAGTAGTCAGTCTCCCTTGTTTATTCTACATTTCAACACCTCTGGTAAACCACAAAAGTTAGGAAAGCGAGCTAGAAGCAGTCAGTATTGAGTAAAAGTGTTATAAAAATGTCACACAGAGAAGGGATGAACACACATACTCACAGAAACCAAAAGATCTAGCAGATTATCAGTTAAAGATGGAAATACTGATAAATTGGTTGAGTAACTGTCTTTTCCAGTAAATAACTTACGTAAAGCTGCAGTTTTCAAAGCGATAGTGTCCTGGGCATCTGTTGAAGACACAACTCACCCCAAGTTTTCTCTCTTTTCATTCAAGACATTGAAAATTGAATCAACAACGAGAAGAATGGGCACATGTAAAGTATGCTTTGAGGATGAACACATAAAACTAACATTTATCCAGAACCATCAAAAACAGGCATTCAGTAGAGGACCTGCCCACTGTGATCCTTCTTTCACTAATCTATTTACTATCCTCGTGTTATTGAAACAAAAGAAGAAAAAAACAATTTCAAGAAACTGAACAGCGGAAGTTTTATTACCCTTAAGCAGGTATTCTTATTTGCAGTGCTGGAGTAGCAGCGGGATAAATGATTGTCCAACAAATATAGCCTTACTTGGAAATCCTCAATGCCACTGACTGTTCCTCTAGCATTATGACAGGTCCATTGTTAGTCCTTTGGTCTTTGTTTTTAACCCCCAATTCACCTTCCTCTGTTCACCTCCATTGAAGATTCCATGTGTAATACTGTAAGGTGATGGAAAATACAGCAATGATAGCATAGTAGCAAAATCTTAGGCTGCAGCAAGAGAAGATAAGCTCAAATGGAGGAGTTACAGACATAAACAAAGACAAAGGAAAGAAACAGCTTACCCTCAGAAGGCTTCAGGTATGCAAGGATCTCCAACAAGATACCCTTGCCTCCACTGTCAACTCTCAGACGAGAGCTGGGAAGGGGTGGATCCTGGCTCCACTCCTTCATTTCTACTACACTCCACCCCTTCACGGCATGAACAAATGACTGAGCAGATTAAAGGTAAGCCCTTTCCATTACGGTGATCCAGTACGCTGCAACACTTGTACAATCTGCCTGTTACGACATAGGTTGACAAAGCATATGACAATATATGATTGGTTCATGGTTGAAATTTGTGTTCCTTTGTAGGCCAGTACTGGATAGTTCTCCTGGACACACATAGCTGCTTAGGCCAGGGAAGATTCAGTTCACGTTCTATCAATCCCATATCGTCCACCACCAGATGTCACACTGATCATACAGTGACACTGGAGCATCTTGATGCCACGCTTCTCCTCCCAGCGATCCTGAGGACTGAGAGAGTCTCATGGGGAGTGTACAGACTTTTCAGAGATAATAGGAGAGGGAGGTCCACCCTCCATGGCAAGATACAGGCCTTGTTCCTGTCCTGGGTCAACACTTCAGCTTGCACTGAGACATGTCCTGGCCATCTGTACCATATCCTTTGGCCCAATATCTGATACTGCATAACTATGTCTGATATCAAAGGGGAGTCCTTATTTGCCATAGGGACATGATTAAAGTCCCCTTAGTGATGAAAACTGGAATGTTGACCACAGTGTCTGCAGACCATGTACCTATTACCAGGGAGAACTACCAAACCCCCAACCTCCAATAATCTCCAAGGTGCAAGTAGGTCACATCACTTTGGTCCTACTTGCACCTTTGAAGGCATTCTATTTTATGGGTACCTGGTTCTAGGTTCTCAAGGGCAGGGAACAAAAGATTATTTTCATTGCCATTTTGGGGTCTTACCCAGTTATCGGTACCTGTGATTTGGATCCTAAATGGGGAGGCTCATGTTGTCTGTAGCATCTTCAAGGACATTGGGTCAGTCGTTTCCAGGTCTTTCATTTAGGTCCCACAGGATTTCATAGAATCTTTGTCCACCTCTTGCAGGGACTGAGAATCTGTCCTCAGGGCAGCCTTAAGAATACTGTTATGGTGTTCAATAATGTCTGCCCCCCAGTGTTGTACAATTGCACCAGCAAAATGAGTTCCTAGGTCACTCTTGATGACTTGAGGTGACAGGTGGTGCCCACTCACCAACTTGGTGAGTGCCTTGATGGTATATGCCTGGCTCGGTCTTGGCACTGGATAGGCCTGCATTAGTCCACTTTCTGTGTCAGTGCAGGTCAGGGCATATCTCACCCTCTCAGATGGAGAGATGTGCCCTGTGTAATTGACCTGCCATTGCTGGAGAGGACCAAGTCCTCTGTCAAGATGGGCTGTTGTTTCAGGCAACGATCTTGGTCTCATCTTAGAGAAACCATCACATTCTCTGCATGCCTGGATGATATCAGACAGTTTTATGGGCAGCCCCCATGCTTTAGCAGCTGCCCACATTGTCTTTTATCTGGCATGCCACAGCTTCTGATGTAACCAGAAATAGATGATCTTGAATGGTGAATCCTCAATCCATCAGTCTCAAGCCAGGGTTTTGTCTTCATCATTTCCTGGTAACTGTAGAGGTTGCTGGCCAGAAAGGTGGTAGACATGTATAGTCCCGTGTTTAATGACATTTCATGTGTCCAACCACATATCTCTGCCTGGTATTGGTCAGATATGAATACCCACTCCTGGGTGGCCCACTGTGAATAAGCCCCTGGTACAAAGCCCAACTATCCATGCAGACGTTCTTGGTCATAACTATCCACACACCTCACAGAATAGCCCATTGGCTATTCTGACCATTCCCCTCTTCAAACCAGATTGTTTTAGCAGAGGAATAGTATGCCACTGCTCTCCACTTGCTTGGGTTACCCTTGCTGGACCCATCCATATACCAGGCATCTTCAGGAATGTGATATTTCCCTTCCTGAACTGGACTTCTCTCTAGTGGAGAAATTATTGTCTATT